GGCTGATCTAGAACTCACAGAGATCCGCCTGCCTCTGCCTTGCAAGTGCTGGGCTTGCATTTTTTTTTTTTTTTGCACATCATGTTAAGGACCATAATACACAGTGAGGGGTTGGGGTGTGGCTCAGTGGTAGAGACCCTGTCTAGAATCCCCCAGTGAAGGGTTGGGGTTGGCTCAGTGGTAGAGCCCCTGCCTAGAATCCCCCCAGTGAAGGGCTGGGGGTGTGGCTCAGTGGTAGAGCCCCTGCCTAGAATCCCCCAGTGAGGGGCTGGGGTGTGGCTCAGTGGTAGAAGCCCTGCCTAGGATCCCCCAGTGAGGGGCTGGGGCCTAGCTCAGTGGTGGAACCTCTGCCTAGGATCCCCGTGAGGGACTGAGGATATGGCTAGGACACAGTTGCCTATTAGTATGCAGGAGTTCCTAGATTCTCTATCAAAACACACACACTTCACATTTTAGGCCTATCCCAAAAATAAGATATGAGACCCAGGGCATTTCCTGGTCTTCGGGAAGAGGTGGGCCGGGTAGACTCTACAAGGAGGATGGTGGTCATGGTTCTAACTTGACTGGAATTCATCTCTGGACGGCAAGTGGAGGATGGGGTGTCCCTGAGCTCAGTGATCTGATGAAAAACTGAGACTGGTTGGAATTCATACCCTCATCCTTTGAGCCTCAAAGTAAGACTTCCTTTGTGCGGAGCACTGTTTCAGGCCCAAGGCACCGCCATAGCAAAAGAGAACAAATCCTAGCCCCCAGGGCTGAGCTGACGCTAATGAGTGCAGTCAGGAGCAGCCCACAAGCAGAACACGGTGGCAGTGCTTACATGGCGCAAACAACAGCTAGAACAAGAGAGAGGTACACCATTCTGCCCCTGCTCCTGGCATTACCCCTCCCGTGGGTTTCCCTGCCAGAAGCTTGGGCTGAGCCAAGTGCACTCCCAGACGCCATCTGCTCTCCCTGAGTGTGGGGCCCGTGCCAGCTTGAGCGTCTGCACTCCTGGCACAGTGCCCTGGCACCCTAGAGCTAGGGAACTCCACCACGGCCCTACATCAAGCCAGGGAATCCTCACGTCTGGCAGATGGAGGGCTGCAGGAAAAGGAGGCAGTGCAAGCTGGGTGGGCTCCCTGAAGGACGAGGTGGCTTGGAGGGCCAGGAGGGTTCTTTGTCAACTAAAAGGACACGAATTATGAATAATAACATCGATAAGCACATTCCACATGTTCAGCTGTTCACTGTGCTACCTTTGCCAGGCTTTGGGTAAATGTGTGGGTGTTTATTGTCACATCTAAGTTGAATCCATATGTTGTACTGTTGGAATGACTAAGTGAGAAAGAGCTTGCTGCTAAGTCTGATTATCTGAGTTCGAGTCCAGAAACCCGCCTGATGGAAGAAAAGAACTAACTCCTACAAGTTGTCCTCTGACTTCTACACATGCTTGCTGGAGAAGCACCACACTAAATAAATAAGTAAATAAACGTAATGAAAAAAATCAAAAAATTAAAGATATGGGGGTCTGGAGAGATGGCTCAGAGGTTAAGAGCACTGACTGCTCTTCCAGAGGCCCTGAGTTCAATTCCAAGCATTCACATGGTGGCTCACAACCATCTGTAATGTGATCTGGTGCCCTCTTCTGGCCTGTAGGCATTCATCATTCATAGAGGTAGACCACTGTATACATAATAAATAAAATCTTTCAAGATTTTTTTTTAAATAAACATATGTGTGTCATCATCACGTCTAGAAGGCTGGGCATATGTCCTGAGTTTTCAGATGAAGAAATAAAGATTCAGAGAGGTGAAGCTCTGGTCCAAAGTTCACACATCAAGTGCCTTGAAATACTTGCCTGTGTGTGGAGAGTCAGACCCTGAACCACGGAGCACGCCTGCATTACTATAGGACCTGGACCACTCCTCGGCCTCTGTCCTCGAGAAGCGTCACTCAACCTTCCTTCTTTGGCTTCTTTCCTTCCGCTGGGGTCAGCAAGGGATTCTGCCTTGGGTTACAGTCTGCTGCTGCAGGTCCCAGGGGCTTACCTCGGTAGCGGAGCCAGTGTCTTAGCCTCAGTTTCCGCACCCGCCCAGCAGGGGTGAAAACGGAGCTGCTGAGGGAAAGAGCCCAGCACAGTTCCCTGTGCTCTTTGCTGTCGTGAAAAGACGACCATGCACAGTGCTTCTTAGGACTGTTCCGTGGTTGTGAATGTAAGCACCTAGAACAAGTCACAAAACTGTAGCTAATGTTACTGTTATTATTTTTGGTTGTTACTGGACCACCTTTTCTGGAGAGGTGGGATCCAGCCAGTAAAGACCTAGATAATGGGGGGGGGGGGGGGGGGGGGGGGAATTTGCTCCATCTTCCAGCCAACAGATTTGAGCCTGGGCTCAGGGAGAAGAAGCTGCTGTCTCTGGGACCTCCCCCCCCCCCCGCCCCAGAGTCGGAGTCTGCCTTCAAGGCCCCCTCCAGAGGAGCAGCGGAGGGGCGGAGTTTGGAGCTGTAGCCACGCCTCTCCCCTCCCCTGTGCGCTGCGGGGCTGGGGCGCAGAGACCCGACCGCAGCGCAGCTGCCAGACCCCGCGTCAGGTACCCCTGAGCCCGATCGCAGGGTTCAGGTTTGCCCATCTCTGGGCGGCAGGGCAAGGTGGGCGTCCTATGAAACTGGCCGTGGGCGGTGAGGAGAGGAGATGAGGACATTGCTCCTCCCCCGGGGTCCTGGTGTTGCGGTGGGGTGGGGGGTGTGGGCGAGAAATGGATGGGGGTGAATCTTTGGCGAGGATCTGGACTAGGAGGTTTGGAACGATCTGGGGCAGGGGATAGTAGAACGAGAAAGATCTTTCTGGTTGAGTGTGAACAGTACATATGCTGAGTTTGAGGGTGGCGGCGTTAATGAACCAGGTGTTCTAAGGTGACAGGTCAATGGGGAGATGTGTGGCGCCGTGGAAAAGGGGCAAGGTAAGGTACAGGTTGAGTTGAATAGATGTGCAATGGAAGCGATAAGAGCTGAGAATCGTGGCGGTGGGGGGTGGGGTCTCTGTATGTTGGAGGTGTTTGCGTTTTCAAATGCTGCAAGGGTGAGGATTGTGCAAGGAGGCTCAGGGGTACATAAGAATATTGCCGGCCTCAGACACGTTCCCGAGGGGAGCCGCTGTCATTCCCAGCAAGTGTTTAAGGAGACCTTTGGCAGATGACAGGGTGTGGGTGTGGGCGGCCTTACCTTGAGAGGGCCCTGGGAACTGAGTGTGAGGACTGGACTATGTGTGTGTGCACTAGGGTGGAGTTCCTAGGTCACTGGGGTAGGAGATGGATGAGCATATTATAGGAGGAAGGGTGTGGGCCTGAATGGGTGGTAAGGGCATGTGAGCCTGGGGATGGAGTCTGTGTGTATGTGTGTGGAGAGGGCTCATGGAACAAACAACTGTGTAGGACGTGGTTTACAGTGAGTATGCAACAGGTATATAATTGAGAGAATCCCAGAATTGATCGCCTGGGACCGTGAATTATCTGTGAGTTAAACAAACCTGTTTTGTTCTCCAGTCTGTTTTTCTATCTGTAAAATGACTCTGAGGGACTTTGAGCTCACTCTGAAGCCAACAGTCAGAGGGTGATGGATAAAGGCAAGAGTTTTGAAATTTGAATTTGTTTTCCTCTGTCTTCAGGAACCTTCTACAACAGCGCCCCTCCCCCAGCCATGGACAACCCCAGCATACAGGAACTCCAGCAACCCTTGCTGCCAAGCACAGCCTGGGACCTCCTGTCCCCCAAGACTGACAAAGTAGAGCTGGGACCCCCTTTCCCAGAAACAGTCTTTGTGGAGTCACTGAGAGGCCGGCAGTTCCTTCTCTCACCTCTTTCTTCCGTGAGCGCTGGCCTGGGAGAGCCTGAGACCCCTGACCTTGAGGTAGGGGTGTAGGGCAGCTTGCTGGTGTTACCTGTCTAGGTCTGGAGTCTCACTTGACTGTGCAGGGCCTGACTGGGAGTCTTGGAATTTTTGTTTGTTTTGTATTGAGACAGGGTTTCTTTGTGAAGCCAGGGCTAGTAGACCAGGCTGGCCTTGAACTCAGAGACCACCACCTGGCTCTAGAGTGCAGTTTTTTCTCCAGACCCCTCACCTTGTCCCTTGATCTTTGTTGCTGTCTTCCTTCTGACTGTGTTCTCTCATTCCAGAACCCACAAATGCTTGGCTTCTGCTGAAGCAGTTTTTCAAGTTAATGTCTTTAATTTTTTAAGTTATTTGTGTGCGCGCGCGTATGTATGGAATGAGGCCAGGGCACACATGTAGTCGACCTGGAGTCAGATCATTAGGGTTGATGGTCAGTACTTTGCCTTTACCTGCTGACCTTCCCCATGCTTTAAAAGTTTTTTTTAAAAGATGTCAGACTTGCATTTTGTTTTTAAGCTTTTATTTTTATGTGTATATGCCTGTGCGTTATATTCATGCAGTGCCTGTGGAGGCCAGAAGAGGGAGCTGGATCCGCTGGAACTGGAATTACAGATGGTAGGGAGCCATCATGTGGGTGCTGGGAATTGAACCTGGATCATTCATCAGTGCTCTTAACCGAGCACTGATCTCTCTAGCCCTCGCTATTGTGTATGTGCTTGCATTTTCTCTCTATTCAGATCCCCTGGAGTTGGAGGTAAAGGGCACTGGAATCTTCCCCACAAGGAAGCTGAGAACCTGACTCAGGTCATATACAAGGGCAGTAACCACTGTGCCATCTCTCTAGTCCCCACCCCCCTTTTCTAAGACAGGGTCTGGCCTTAAATTCACCCTTCCACATCAACCTCCAAGAATGCTGTCATATTCCTTGCACATATTGTGAAACATGTCTTGCATTTTTATTTTCCAATTTAATTTTCTTTGAGACAAAGTTTGTTCTTCATGCTGGCCTTGAACGCCTCAGCTCACATTTGCCTTTTGACCTCCATGCCTGCGCCATCCATCTGGTTTCTTTCTTTTGTAAGATGGTCTCACTGCATAGCCCAGACTAGCCTCAAATTTACCAGGTACCTAAAGATGACCTTGAACTTCTGCTCCTCCTGCCTCCACCTCCCTACTTGCTGGGATTAGAGGCATGCACCACCCCTGGCTTTCCCATTTTACTCGAGGAAGGCTCTGGTTAAATTGCCCAAGCTGACTTTGAATTCACTCTATAGTCCAGGCAAGGTTTGGAATTTCAACCCTTGGGACTCAGATCTGATTTACTTACTTTGTCCTAGGAAATCTACTATGTGACGGTCTGTTAAGAGGGAGTTGTAGACCTGGCCAGATTCAAGGAAGGAAGAACCTATCGCACAGCTGCTGGGGGGTGGGGAAGGAACATCAGTCATCTCAGAAGAGCTTTTGGTGTACATCTTTAATTCCAGCACTCAAAGCAGTCAGATCTCTGAGTTCAAGGCCAGTCTGGTCTACAGAGTAAGTTCCAGGATAGCCAGAGCTACACAATAGAGACCTTGTCTTAAGAAAAAAAAAAAAAGGCACTTGGAGCCAGGTTAAGTGCCTGCCTATAATCTGGGCTGAAGCTCTTGGCTTTACAGAACAGCCTGGGGCAACACAGGAAGACAACACAAGCAGGTGGGGTGGAAAACATCCTGCCAGTTTTACCATCTCTGACTGGCCCTAGCAGAGAAGACTTGAAGAACTACATTGTACCTCCAAGGTCCTGCTCACCATTTGTGTGTCTGTTATATTTGACTGTGTGCTGGTCATTTTGTTTGAAAAAAGTATTTTTAGGATCAATTACTTGGAGGCCTAGAATGAAGGTACCATCTTCCAGAGAGGATTTGTTTTGTTCCTGCTGAGCTACCTGGAGACAACAGTGAAAGATTTTGGTGTCCTCCCTCCCCTCACAGGTCTCATGTAATGCAGGCAGGCCTCCTGAGCCACCTGCCTCTACCTCCCAAATGCCAGGATTACGGGCACACCCAGCTTTAGGATCATTTTTGGCTGGCAGGTGTCTTAGCAACTCAGGACACTAGAGAGTTCACCCCCCCCCCCATCTCTCATGCAGGTTCTTCTACCCACGGCAAAGTCTGCCCCCACTTCACAACTTCCCATTTAGGGAGTACAAGCAATCTTCCCATAGTTAGACCCTTGAGAATGAACTCAGCACCCAGGAGGGTGTCTCTCTCTAGAAACCCGAAGTATCAATAGCTCCCCCGCCCCTCCAGGGATCCAGTAGACTGAGAAGTTTAAAGCCCACCTTGTTGAATGTTTTTGTCTCTGGGAAGGCCGCAGAGAAGCATTGGTCCTCAGGGGTGATGGGGCAGAGAAGGCAGGTGGGGATATCCCCACCCAGACTCTCTCCTGTCCATAGGACACATCATCCAGCGACAGTGACTCAGATTATGATGGAGGTGGCCGCCTCTCACCTCTTCTGCCCCATGACCACCTTGGCCTGGCAGTCTTCTCTGTCCTGTGTTGTTTTTGGCCTGTGGGCATTGCTGCCTTCTGTCTGGCCCACAAGGTTAGTCTGTGTTTGGGACTGGGAGGGTGCTGGGTTAAAAAAAAAAGGGGGGGGGGAGAACAAGGAGGAGCCACACTGTTTGGTGGTGGTGGTGGGGACCATGGGGGGAGGCGGCTGGAGAGAAGCTTCCACAAAGGAACACAAAGGTGTAACCTGATATGGTGGTGACAGTAATCCCAGGTAGTCTTGGGAGACAGAGGAGGTTCAAGGCCAATCTAGCTACAAACTGAGATCTTGTCTCAAAAGAATGAAGAGCAAAGGAACAGAGCGGAGGCTATGGCTCAGTTGGCAGACTGCTTGCCTAGTATGTATGAAGCCCTAGGTTCGATGGCCAACAAATCAGAGATGGAGGCAGAAAGATCTAAATTCAAATTTATCTTTGGCTACAAAGGAAGCCCCAGGCAAGCCTGGGCTACCTAAGTCTCTGTCACAACAAAACAAAGGGAGGAAGGAAGCATGGGGGGGGGGGCTAGAGTGGTGGCTTTGACAACCGTCCCTGTCAGAACTGGGAAGCCAGCGAAAGCCGCAGGTCTCCCTCACTAGTCAATGGAAATAACCCCTATCTCAGGGCCGTTGTACAGATTAACTGAGTGAAAACACAGGCATAAATTAGTGGTATGTGTGGCAACACTTCTTTGTTTTTTGGGTTTTCTTTTTTCCAAGACAGGGTTTCTTTGTGTAACCCTGTTCTCAAACTCAGAGATCCACTTGCCTATGTCTCCCAAGTGCAAGGATTAAATGAGTGGTCACCACCACATAGGGAAACGCTCTTTTATTGGTTGCTCAGTTGGTGCCCCAACTACAGTTTTAGACTAGATAAATGAATTAGTTAGACTGGGATTGTGGAGAGCCACAGGAAGCAGGGTGGAGTGTCAAGGGACACTTTGGTTACCACTGCCCACTGCCTCTACAGACCAACAAGGCTTGGGCCAAGGGGGACATCCAAGGGGCAGGGGCCACTTCCCGCCGTGCCTTCCTGCTGGGGGTCCTTGCTGTAGGGCTGGGCCTGTGCACATATGCTGCTCTGGTGACCTTGGCTGCCTACCTTGCCTCCCGAGACCCGCCCTAGCTGCCCTTCAGCCCCCACTGTGAATGCAGAGGCCAGAGGCCCCCCAGTGAACCCATGAGAGGAACAGATGATCCTGGTGCAAATGGTGGTGAAGGTGAAGACCACAGCATCCAGAAATGAGAGTCTGCTACTTTCCTGGCCACCCCTACCCAGAAGGAAGCAACGTGAGAGATTAAAGAGTCCCTGAAGCCAAACCCAAGTCTGTCTGTGTGTTTGGGTGTGTCCAGGGTGGACTGGTGTGGGGCGCAAGAGTAGGAAGGACTGACCAGCAAGGTCAGCCTCAGGCTGTGGCTGACATCAGACCTCAGAGATTGGGGTGTGTTAATGCAGTATTTTCTTCTCCACAGTAGTGAGCAGAATTAGAGCCAGGCTTCCAGGTCTCACTTAACCCTTCCCTCGGGCCGAGCAAGAATCCCAGGTGTGTGTGGTGGCCTGCTGCTTCCCTCTGAGATGCAGCAGGCCACAGCAGATGGAGAAATTACCCAGTTGTCCAAAATCAACAGGAAAGTGTGGTGGTAGAGCCAGACCTCGGAGCCACGCTTAGTATACTGGTAACTCAGGAGGCTGAGGCAGGAGGATCACAAGTTCAAGTTGGCCTAGAGATGAGCTTAGCAGAACTATGCCTAGTACATATGAGGTCCCAGGAGATGAGCCAGCCGTGGCAGCTTAGTGAGACTGACACACACACAAAAACAGCTGGCACTCCCAGCACTCGGGAGAGGCAGTGGGTCTACAGATTAAGTTTCCAGGCCAGCCAGGGCTGCATAGTGAAACCCAGTCCGCAGGGTGGACCAGAGGCATGGCTCATCAGTCAATGCTTGTTCAGAATTTACAACTCCCTTAGTTCAAACCCCAGAATCAGCTAGGGGTGGTGATGCATGCCTTTACTCCCAGCAGTAGAGGAGGCAGAGGCAGGAGGATCTCTGTGAGTTCAAGGCCAGCCTGGTCTACAAATGAATTCTAGGACAGTCAAGAGCTACGTGGTGAGACTGTCTCAAAAAACCAAATAAGCCTGGTAGATGGCTTTGATCCCAGCACTTGAAAGGCAGAGGCAGGTGGATCTCTGTGAGTTTGAGGCCAGCCTGATCTACAGAGTGAGTTCCAGGACAGTCAGGGCTATTACAGAGAGAAACGCAGTCTCTAAAAAAACAAAAACAGTTTTAGAGTTACCAAAACAAGAAAAAATTTGCACCTGGGCTTCAATGATGTGAACATAGCTCCCTCTGCAGACACAACTTCTCTTGGGGGGAGGAGGGAGAGGGAGAAGAATCCTGACTGACAGCTCAAATCATCTAGAGACCAAATACCTTCCTTACAAAATGGCCTTCCAAACCCACTTCAACCAAGTCCCTGCAGAATGGGCCTCCAACTCAGAGCCACTTGCCTCTGCCTCCAGATTGCTGGGACCAAAGGTGTGCACCAGCGCTGTCTGGCTATGTAAGGGGTGGGTCCCTGAGGAAACAAAGAGCTGGTGGTACCAAGTAGGTAAGCAGCTTGCTCAGCACTTGGCGGGACACAGGGAATATTTGCAAAATGAGGCCTGAGAAGAACATCAAGTAATGAAGAGGCAGGGGTTTGGCTGTTAAACGCCATACCACAATGAAAAAAAAAAAAAAAAAAAACAAACCAAAAACCCTTTTCCACTCAGCAAGCTAAAGATACCTGTGCATTCCTTTCCCGGTTCTCAGGAGTGAAGACACCGGTCCAGCGGGTGGTGGTGGAGAGTGGAGTGTGAGGATCTAGGTCTAGCGTGTGAAATACAAGGCAGAATGGGCGCAGCACATGGAAACAAGCGTCTGAGGCCTGCTGATCTGGCTCCATGTTGACAGGTTGTGGGAGTTAATCTTTACAGAAGTTCTTAAATGCTTGGTTCCAGTCCTCTCAATACCAAGGGTATGGGAACACTGGCTGGCTGAGCCCCAATGACTTGGTGCTCCCAGAATGCTGGAGTTACCCTGAACAGCCTGGTCTCTGGGACAGGAATCTCATGGTCATTTGGTCTTCTGCAGGTTAGCTGGTGACCTTTGGGCTCTTCTGTTTATGTCATCTTCAAGTGAGGACTCTTATCACCCCCATTTCATGGGGTGCTGAAGATGGACCTCTAGTGTACTGCTGGTGGCCCTCAAGGCCCCGTGTGGATGTGTTCCTCCCTGCCTGTATCTCTGGAGCGCTCTCCCATGCTACTCCAGAGCTCACTGCCACACTTTCCTCCTTCACGGATAGCTTCAGCTGTACCACCCCTGCCTGTATCCTGAGATGGAATTTACTTCCCCTCAAAACTGATCCCTCCTTTAGATGTGTGTCCAAGTGCCCACAGAAAAGGATGTCTGAGCCCCAAGAGCTGGAGTCACAGGTAGTTGTGAGTTATCTGTTGTGAGTGCTGGAAACTGGAAGAGCAACAGGAGCTCCTAACTGCTGAGTCCTCTCCAGATCACCTTCTTAGGTAGCCCAGGCTGGCCTCACTATGCCAGGCAGGACTGATGGCACGTACCACCATGCCTATCTCTTACCCTGAACATGTGGTCTGGGTCTCTCGTTCAGTGCCAGCTTCTCAACACCAGCAGGCCTGATGAATGGATGCTCACCAGACATCAGAATAGGTGGCTATGACTCGCTCATTCAACACAGGTGAGCTCCTTTTAATGGTGTTCTGGCACAGGAGCCCCTGCTGTTACAAGACTGGAGGTCACATGGGCACAGTATGAGGTAAAGTGAGGAGCTGGCATGTGACGGCTGGAGGCGGTGGGCGTGGTGACAGGAGGTGCACCCTGCCCTGGCTTGTCTCAGCTTTTTGAGTAGCGCCTCTGCAGCGATTCCCGGTAGAAGCGGAAGATGTGCAGTGAGGCAGCCTGGGCAGCAGCCAGGCACTGCTGGAGCTGGGAAGGAAGAAGCCAGTTAGCACCCAGGGTTACTCCCTAAATGAGCCTCTAAACCTAGTGCCCTCCCCTCCATTACTCCTCACCACAATAGCCATTTCCTGTCTCACTGCCTAACTCCCACCCCGTAATGGAGCTGGTGCATACCCGTAATGAGACATACATAATGGCCCTGAAAAATCCTCCTGCCTCAGTCTCTAGAGTACAGTATATGGTGCTGGGGGTGGAACCCAGGTCTCATGCACGTTAGACAAACCTCTACCAATAAAGTCACATCCTCAGTCCCTCTCCTCTAAGCTTGTTTCCCTCTTTTTTCTTTTTTCTTTTTGAGACAGAATTTCTTCATGTAGCCTTAGCTGTCCAGGAACTCACTCTGTAGACTAGGCTGGCCTCGAACTCACAGAGATCCACCTGCCTTTGCCTTCTGGCATAAAAGGCGTGAACCACCACTGCCCAGCTACTTCCCTCTTTTAGTATGGAAATTATACCACGTGTGCATGTGTATGTATGCACCTGTGCACTTGCACACAGGCATACCCTGTGGAAATAAGAGGATAATTTGGGGACTTGGTTCTTTCCTTTTACCATGTTGGTCCTGGGGTCTAAAGTCAGGCAGGTAGTCGGGTCTAGCAGCAAGTCTTTAATTTCAGAACCATCTTCCCAGCCCTTAAGTTTTATCTTAATGAAAAGAGCATAAGGGCGTTGGGGGACCAGACTCTGAAAGCCACCTGAGATCAGAGTCCTAACACCTTGGAGAAACTCGGAGAGCTGGAGACCCTGAGAATTAGAGCCATAACCCTTTAACCCTCAAATCCTTTTCACTGATGTTTGCCTGAGACAGGGTCTCACTACATAGCTCAGACTGGCCTGGAACTCACTATATAGCCTAGGTTGGCCTGGAACTCACTATATAGCCCAGGCTGGTCTAGACTTGTGTAGCTCAGAATAATCTCAAACTTAGTGATTCTCCTGCCTTAGCCTGCAGAGTGCCGAGAGTAAAGGTGAGAGCCACTAGACCTACCTAGCACCTCCTCTCCCTTTCTGAAACAAGTGTTTACTATATAGTCCAGGCCGGTCTGGAGTTCACAGCAGCAAGCCACCATGTCCAACCCAAATAACCTTAAGAGCCATGAAATTAGAGATTTAAATCATTACCGCCACATAGGCTTAGAGCCACAGGGCCAGAGAAGAAATACAGGTGCAGCCTAGTTTCCAAACCCCATTCCTTGGAAACCCAGAATTCTAGGTGGCACTGTTCTGTGCTGACGACTGGGACCTTAAGATAGAAAACTGGGGGTTGGCTCAGTGGTTAAGAGCATTTCCTGCTTTTCCAAAGGTCCTGAGTTCAATTCCCAGCAACTACATGCTGACTCACGACCATTTCTAATGGGATCTGGTGCCCTCTTCTGGTATGCAAGCAAAACACTGTATATATAATAAATCTTTAATTAAAAAATTCTAAAAAAGATAGACACACCCCCTCATTCAAGGTGAACCCTGTTTTCTGATCTCATTATTCAGGCATTCCTTTAAAACTGCTACATAGAAACCCCGTTTTGGTCTTTTTGCTTGATAAGGCAGGATCTCACAATGTTGCCCTGGCTGGCTTGGAATTCTCCATGTAGACTAGGCTGGCTCTGAACTCATCTATGCTTGCCTTTTTTTCCCAAGTGCTGAGATTAAACTCGTGACTCAGGACCTTGGGCATGCCAAGCAAGCACTTTAAGAACTAAGTCCCAAACATGCCTCCATCCACCCAACAGCGATGCAGAGAAGGGCTTTCTGTGAGCTGGGACAAGATGTTATGTCAACAGGAGAAAAAATTATGGACACACAGGTACCTCGGCATCAGAATAGAGCCCCTTGGTAGTGGACATCAGCAGCTTCTGCTCCACGCTGTCCAGAGCAAAGGTCAGGATGGCCCGGGCCTCCTAGAAGCAAAAAGTAGAAGGTAGTAAGTGTCTTGGGGCCCTCCTCTTTAAGATCTCAGCCAGTCTCAAACAGGGAGAACTGAACCCTCAGCCTCTAGGTCAACTGAAGTTGTATGTTAGATTCCACTTGGGTAATTGTTTCTCTTCTTTGCCTTTATTCTGATCACTGTTCTCCTGTCCCATAGGGGGAGCCACAGTGCTGGTCATTTCCTGACTGCCTCTCCACTGCCCACTCTCCCTTCCTTGCTTTGCACTACACAGGCAAGCCAGAGATCCAGTCCTCATGGCTCCCTTCCCTTGTTTCCCCAGTTATCTGAGGGGGGCCCAGGAAGCCCCGAGAGAAGCATCGAGGTCCCCACTCTGACAGCAGTAGTTGCAGTAAAAGTGACAGTCGCGAGGAGGGTTCTGAACTTCCACATCCAAGATAGAACCCCTGGATTTTCCTGTGTGTACACCTGCAACCAACTGTGATGATGTCGTGGCAGGGCCAGGCTGGGACCCAGGCTGCACTGCTGTGGCTATCCCTGCCTAAAGCCTTCATAGAAAAGTGCTGAAAAGAACATGCTTCCTTAACTGTCATCACCATGACCAGCACAGGGCACAAGAACCACAGATCTGTTCTACAGTTCGGAAGTGAACGCTAGCAAGTTTCTTTTCTGGCTAGTGCAAGTGAGAGTTGGGTGTCTAGCACTTAAAGCTGAATGAACCTTGATGGATGGGACAGAAGCTGCCAGATGGACCAGGGTGCACGAGCCAACTGACTCCCACAGAAGTAAGGCCTGCAGGCAAGCAGACCTACCTGGCTACAGCTCTTCGCCAACATTACCTTTCTACACCTACCTTTTCTTGCTTGGTCGTGGGGTCCAGCACGAGATTACCATCAGAGTCCAGGGCACAGCTGACCCCGCAGAAGAGAGCCCGCATGGGCACACCTGCATCCACCAGTGCCATGCAGGCAGCATTCAAGCAGCAGGCCAAGAGCTGAGCATCACAGGGAGGTTAAGAAGAGTGTCTTCTGTGGGACTGGCCAGCAGAACACATCCACACGTCCCTTTCCCTGCTGATGCCTGTGGCAGACACCGCTAGCTGATCACAGAGCAGCAGCACAGTAAGATGGCTAAGTGGTTCTGGCACCAAGTACCTACCAGTGCTCCATAAGCACCTCCCTCCCTGTGTTAAATGAGATGATGCTAGGGAACAGATATATACACTAAAGGATGTACCAAGGATCTTAGAGATGGGTGGTGGCGGCCCTTATCTTTAATCCCAGAATTTGGGAGGCAGAGGCAGGCAGATCTCTGAGTTTGAGGCCAGCCTGGTCTACAAAGCAAGTTCCAGGACTGCACACAGCGAAACTCTGTCTCCAAAAAAAAAAAAAAAAAAAAAAAAAANAAAAAAAAAAAAAAAAAAAAGAAGCAAAACCAAACAAACTAACAAACAAAAAACACCAAATAAACAAAACAAAACATATACACACAAAAAAAACAGAGACAGGAAATCTCCCAGTCTCTTATGGAAGACACTGGCAAAGCCAGATTCACTACCTGGGACTCTAGTGGGCAGTATGGAGCCAATGACCATTCTGCCAGCTTGGTGCTTCCCCAGTAGAGCCAGAAACTCATGCCAACATGCAGAGAAGTCACTGGCTCAGGCTCTGGGCTTGGACAGGCCTGAGCTTGAGTCTCACCACTGTAGTCTTCTGGCTGCCACTGTCCTGTTCCCTTGGGCAAGACACAGCCCCTCTCTGAGCTCCAGTTTCCTACCCCAAACTCGGCAACATAAGAAACAAACATGCTGGAGCCCTTAGGCTCTCGAACTGGAAAGCCCGAGACCAGGCCTTGGGAGCTACAGGGGAATTACAATGCTCCCCAGGACAAGTCCTGTGGGAACTAGACGACACTGCTAAGAAGGGCTTGAGTGTCCCGCACGCGAGTCCTGCTGGTTCATTTCTAAAATCCACATTAGTTTGTTTGCGTGCCCGTGGGCAAGTGTGCTGTGGTGTTCACGTGGTTAGAGGACAACCTGCAGAAACTGGTCCTCTCCTTCCATCACGTGCGGCCGTCAGGCTCGGCAGCAAGCACCTTTACCCACTGAACTATCCTATTGGCCCTGGCATTGTTTTAAGTTCTTTGAGCTGCTTCCTGGCATGGGTTCTGCGTGGCTGAGGGTACATTACAGGGTCACCAGGAGGGAAGCCAAGGGAGGCTCCGGGCACGTCCTAGAGTGTCTGGGAAAGGATACGGAGCCGGTGTCGCTCACCACCTGCAGCACCACTGTGATGGAAGTGCGGGGGTGCAGGCCTCCCAGAACCACTGCTTCACACGTGTTCCTGATAAGCCGCTCTCGGCTTTTCTCAGCCACACCTGGGGACGGAGACAGGAAGTTATTAGACTCTTACCCCATCACCTTGTTCTGCTCAATCCAGCCTGAGGGAGACTCCAGGAAGGGGCTGTCAGTCAGCCTTGGATGGCATGCATACTCCCACGCGAAAGAAGGCAGGGCCCACAACTTCCCAAGGGTCAACCAGTCAGCCACCCAAGGACGAATACCCAGGAGCGCTCATGTCCTATGCTACTGGCCGAATTAACCCCATCAGAGTGGGCCCATCCCACTGTACATAGGGAGATTCAGTAAAAGGGCAGAAAAATAAGTTAATGGTAAGGAGAAATGAAGGCAGAGAA